TAGAGCAAGGTCAAGGGCCGACTGTGGAACAGACCATCGATTGCTCATATGCAAGTTCAAGGTGAAACTGAAGAAAATTAGAACAAGCCTACAAGAGCCAAAGCACAACCTTGAGAATATCCCACCTGAATTTAAAGACCATCTCAAGAATAGATTTGACCCGTTGAACGCTAATGACTGAAGACCAGATGCGTTGCAGAATCACATCAATAACATCATACATGAAGAGAGCAAGAGGTAATTTAAAAGATAGGAAAGAAAGAAAAAACCAAAGTGGATGTCAGAAGAGACTCTGAAACTTGCTCTTGAACGTAGAGTAGCTAAAGCGAAAGGAAGAAATGACGAAGTAAAAAAGATGAACAGAAGATTTCAAAGGCGGCTTGAGAAGACAAAGTATTATAATGACATGTGCAAAGACCTGGAGAAAGAAAACCAAAAGGGAAGAACATACTCAGCATTTCTCAAGCTGAAAGAACTGAAGGAAAATTTCAAGCCTCAAGTTGCAATATTGAAGGAGTCTATGGGGAAAATATTAAATGACCCAGGAAACATCAAAAGAAGATGGAAAGAATACACAGAATCACTATACAAAAAAGAACTGGTCAATGTTCAACCGTTTCAGGAGGTAGCATACGATCAGGAACTGATGGTACTGAAGGAAGAGGTCCAAGCTGTGTTGAAGGAATTGGGGAAAAACAAGGCTCCAGGAATTGAGGCAATACCAATTGAGATGTTTCAACAAACAAATGCAGTACTGGAGGTGCTCACTCGTCTATGCCAAAAATTTGGAAGACAGCTTTCTGGCCAACACACTGGAAGAGATCTAAATTTATGCCTATTCCCAAGAAAGGTGATCCAACCGAATTTGGAAATTATCTAACAGTATCATTAATATCACATGCAAGTAAATTTTTGCTGAAGATCATTCAAAAGTGGCTGCAGCAGTACATCAACAGGGAACTGCAGAAATTCAAGCTGAACTCAGAAGAGGACGTGGAATGAGGGATATCACTGCTAATGTCAGATGGATCCTGGCTGAAAACAGAGAACACCAGAAAGATGTTTACCTGTGTTTTATTGACTATGCAAAGGCATTCGACTGTGTGGATCATAACAAATTATGGATAACACTGCGAAGAACGGGAATGCCAGAACACTTAATTGTGCTCATGTGGAACCTGTACATAGATCAAGTGGCAGCCGTTCGAACAGAACAAGGGGATACTATGTGGTTTAAAGTCAGGAAAGGTGTGCATCTGGGTTGTATCCTCTCACCATACTTACTCAGTCTGTATGCTGAGCAAATAATCCAAGAAGCCGGACTATATGAAGAAAAATGCAGTATCAGGGTTGGAGGAAGACTCATTAACAACCTCCGTTATGCAGATGACACAACCTTGCTTGCTGAAAGTGAAGAGGACTTCAAGCACTTACTGATGAAGATCAAAGACCACAGCCTTCAGGATGGAATACACCTCAACATAAAGAATACAAAAATCCTCACAACTGGCGGACCATGGTCTCGGGGAACATCTAGCTCAATTGGCATGACACAGCCTATAAAGACAATGCTCTACATTCTACCTTGGTGAGTAGTGTCTGGGGTCTTAAAAGCCTATGAGCGGCCATCTAAGATACTCCACTGGTCTCATCCCTTCGGGAGCAAGGGAGAATGAAGAGAACAGGATACAAGGAAAAGATTAGTCCGAAGGACTAATTGTCCACAGCTACCAAGGCCTCCACCGGACTGAGTCCAGTATAGCTAGATGGTGCCTGGCTACCCCCACTGACTTTTCTGACCAGGATCACAACAGAAGTTTCTGGACAGAGCTGGAGAAGGATGTAGAGCATAATTCTAACTCACACACACACAAAAAAGACCAGATTTACTGACCTAGAGGAGACTGGAGAAACCTCCAGAGTATGGCCGCCAGACACCCTTTTAGCTCAGTGGTGAAGTTACCTCCGAGGTTCACTGTTCAGCCTGGGAGTGGACAGCCCCGTAAAACCAAATGAGACTAACGAGGTACAGGAGTCCAGTGACAAGGGCCAGAAGGCAGAAGGGGACAAGGAAGCTGGTGATAGGAAACCCAAGGTTGAGTAAGGATATTGTTGATGTGTTGTGAGATGGTTAACCATTGTCATAGGGCAACATTTGTAGTAACTGTTAAATGAGAAACTATTTTGTTCTGTAAGCCTTCATCTTAAGTGAGAATAACAGCACAACTAGAAGAGCGTAGTCAATGTCACTGAACTGTGTATGTAGAAATTTTTGAAACGGTGTATCTTTGGCGGCGTGTATTTTCACCAAAACAAAAAGGTTGAGAAGTTAGAGGGTTAATATGTTGTGGGGTTGTTAACCAATGGCATAAAACAACATGTGTACTACTGTTTCATGAGAAACTATTTGTTCTGTGAGCCTTCACCTGAAGTACAATAAAATATATTAAAAAAAAAAATCCTCACAACTGGACCAGTAAGTAACATTGTGATAAATGGAGAAAAGATTGAAGTTGTCAAGGATTTCATTTTACTTGGATCCACGATCAACACCAATGGAAGCAGCAGTCAAGAAATAAAAAAATGCATTGCATTGGGCAAATCTGCTGCAAAAGACCTCTTCAAAGTGTGGAAAAGCAAAGATGTCACCTTGAAAACTAAGGTGCACCTGACCCAAGCCATGGTGTTTTCAATCGCCTCATATGCACATAACAGGTGGACATGAATAAGGAAGAGCGAAGAAGAACTGACGCCTTTGAATTATGGTGTTGGTGAAGAATAGTGAACATACTATGGGCTGCCAAAATAACGAACAAATCTGTCTTGGAAGAAATACAGCCAGAATGTTCCTTAGAAGCAAGGATGGTGAGACTACTTCTCATATATTTTGGACATGTTATCAGGAGGGACCAGTCCCTGGAAAAGGACATCATGTGGGGTAAAGTAGAGGGCCAGTGAAAAAGAGGTAGACCCTCACTGAGATGGACTGATACAGTGGCTGCAATAACGGGCTCAAGCATAACAACGATTGTGAGGATGGCGCAGAACCAGGCAGTGTTTCGTTCTGTTGTACTATCAGTTGGAACCTACCTGATGGCACCTAACAACAACAACAGGCTAAGTACTATAGCTTAGACAATCCTGCAGCAACAGTATTAACAAACAATAATTTAGGAATGGACAAATAGATAGATACGCCAAGAGATGTGGGAGGATGCAAGGGAACACACCCACCGGCAAATATAGATTTGGTGGTGGATATTTCTACATACATGACTATAGGTGCAGTTCTACGTGAGCCAATTGATGTAGATGTCCCCCGAGTCTATGATCCTTTGTCTTCTAGCCTGGGAAGGGGTATAGTCAGGGAAACCTCTTAGACATAACCAAACACCTTGTAGGATAAATTTCCTAGGTTAAAAGACAAAGGACCATACTCAGGCAATATCTATGTCAATTGGCACAATATAGTACATAAAGACAATGTTCTGCATCCTACTTTGATGCGTAGCGTTTGGGGTCTTAAGAGCTTGCAAGCAGCCATCTAAGATACAACTATTGGTCTCTTTCTGTCCAGAGCGAGGGATAGTGAAAGAGACCAAAAAATCAAGGAAGCAATTAGTCCAAAGGACTAATGGACCACATGTACCACAGCCTACACGACCCTGACACCAGAAGAATGAAATAGTGCCCCGCTACCACTACCAACTGCTCTTATTGAGATCACAACAGACGGTTCTGGACAGAGCAGGAGAAAACTGTAGAACAAAAAAATAAAATTCACAAAAAAGACAAGACTTGCTGGTCTGACAGAGACTGGAGGAACTCCTGAGATTATGGCCGTAAGACACCCTTCTGACCTGGGAAGGAGGCCATTCCAGGAGACCACCTCCCAGCCAAATAATAGACAAGCACATAAGATAAACAATAACACCCGCATAGAACGTACTTCTTAGAATAATCAATTATACAAGATCAAAAGGGCATTATCTGCCCAAAAGCAAAGATGCGAAAGCAGGAAGTGTTAGAAAATCAGGAGGAAAGAAAATGGGGAAACCAGGGCGGAAATGAGGAGAGTTCTGATACATTGTGCAGAATGAAACCAAGGCCATGAAACACTTTATGTGCAAACTATTGAACGGAAAACTAATTTGCTCTGTAAACTTTCACCTAAAGCATAATAATATATTTATTTATTGCATACCAACTCCCATCACTTACTGTGTGACCTTGGACAAGTTACTTAACCTCTACCTCAGTTTCCTAATCTGAGACTGGGGATAATAATAACACCTACTCCATAGTGTCACTGTGAAAATTAATTTGTATAAAAGTCTAGAATAGAGTCTGGGATAAAGTTCAGTGCTGTTTAAATATTCGCTAGGATAACAGTATTTATTACGACTACAAACCGTACTACACTGTGTTCTAGTCTTCATTTCCCACACCCATTCACTCCTTAGGTCATTCATGTTGGGGACGGGTAGGTCTGGGAAGAGTATAGAGATGGACCAGACTTCCCATGTCACTTGTACAGGTTTATAATTATTGCTTTGTCCAGCTATGCCTGGCACATAGTAGGTGCTAAAAATTGTTTGCTGAATAAATGAATGAATGAATGTATTCCTACGAAACTGTAAGGTGTCTGAAGGCAGGGACCATACTTCCTAGCTGTTGTATTCCTAGAACCAAGCGCCTGGTTAGGCAAACAGGCGTTTGGGGATTACTGAACCAGCAAATGAATGGATGTATGAATGGATAAATGACTGCGGGCAGAAAATCATTAAGGCCACAAAGCAGGCATCTTTAAAACGCTGTAGAAACACCGCCACCACCTCTAGTAATGAGTTAGAAGCGGAAGAGACATAATAGCCAGACTTTAACAGCGCAAGGACTGACGGGAAGCCCAGCTTCCTGCACTCGGCCTTGAGGAATCCCGGGGAAAGGGCAGACCTCGCGACAAGGCTTTCCCAAGCCCCGCCTCCTCGTTGGCTCACTTGACCGTGGGGCGGGTGTGCGGCGGGGAGCGCCTGGGTAACCACGACTGGGTAAGCAACAGCCATGGCCGGGGTTGTGGACTTCCAGGACGAAGAGCAGGTGAAGTCTTTTCTGCAGAATATGGAGGTGGAATGCAACTACCAGTGCTACCGCGAGAAGGACCCAGACGGTGAGCGCCGCCGGCGCGGCCTGGCGACACGTGGGGGAAGGGAGTGGGCTGGAGGGGTCACGTGAGTGATCTCTGAAGCGGGGAGTCTGGAACGGCTCACGTCACGGGCAGAGGACACATCGGGACGGCGCATGTGGGATACTCATGGTCCTGTGGGAGGGAGAGGAAGGGAAAGAGGGGTAGTGTCGGGTTCCATGAGGACTTTTGGGATACGCTGAGGGTGAATGCTCAGCGGTGACCCGGCCTGGAGGCAGGAAGGAAGAGAAGATGTGCTTGGGGTATTTTGGGCAGAAGGGATGGGGATACATCACTGAACAGATAAAATTCCCTGTCTTTATTGAACTTAACATTCTAATGTGAGGAATCAGACAATAAACAAGCGGAAATAAATGAAACGGTTAAAAAGTCTAAGTGCAGTGGGAAGAAGAACGGGGCTGGAAGGATCAGGAGTTCAGGAGCGCAATTTTAAATTCCGTGTTTGGGGAATCACTGAGAAATTACCATTTGAACAAAGCCTTGGACAAGGAAAGAGTGAACCGTGCAGAAAGGTGCTAGGCAGACAAAATAGCTAGTGAAAAGGCCCTGAGGCAGGAATCTACCCTGTGTGTTCTGTGAACATTGTGTTAACTTGAGTGTATGGGTGGATAGTGGGCCTGGAGAAGGCCACCCAGAGCAGCCAATGCCTTTGGCTCGTTTTCTTCCTATTTTATCAAAATAGTAGCAATTACAAAAATAATGATATTGACCATACTTTCTAATAGTTTGCAGTCTAGTTTCCAGAACAAGATATAGCAATTTCCTGAAGCTAACTAACTAGACAGAGTTGTTCTCTAGTATGATGCCTTAAAAAGAACCCGGGGTTGTTCTTTGAGGGCTAGTCCATGTTCCTAAGGGTAGAAAGAATTCAGAGGAGTCAGCTACTGAGGAGTGGAGTGGTTGGGGAAGACTTCTGGGGGAGGCCTGGAGGGACAGGCAAACCAGACCAAAACCTGTTGCTGTCGAGTCGGTTCTGACTCATAGTGACCCTATTGGACAGAGTAGAACTGCCCCATAGGGTTTCCAAGGAGTGGCTGGTGGATTGGAACTGCTGACCTTTTGGTTAGCAGCTGAGCTCTTAACCATTGCGCCACCAGGGCTCCAGAGGGATAGGCAGGTGTTGATGAAATGGAGGAGATGGTGGGAGAAGAAAATGCTGTCTTTGGGACATTGAAAACAGGATGCAGTCAGAGTTAAGTTTGTTGAAGGGGGAGCCTGGGGCCACCATATGTCAGGCTTTGAATGCTTGTGTAAGGAGTTTATTTTTATTCTCTAGGCCATGGAGAGCCATACATGTTGTTTGAGGAGAGAGTTTCTGGTCATGTGCTATGGAGTATATACAGAGCAATGGAGGGAGGAAGGTGGAGATATAAGAAGGATTGGCTGGGGGCTATTTAGAAGAAGAACCTAACAGGAGACTATAGTTAACTATAGGTACGGTTAAGCATAGTTTCTTTGAAAGTCACCATAATTTCTCTCCTGTATAATTAAAATAGCCTTCTAACTGGTCTGTTTCCAACCTCACTCCCTTATAATCTATTTTTTCCTTGCAGACAGTAAGATTTCAATTTTATTATATGAAATGTTTATTAGATTTTTAAATAACAGAAATAACACATTTGTTATTAGTGCCAAAATACATTCCCTACACATTAACTTCCTCCATTCTCACCCAGACATACACAAACATGTTTACCAGAGCAACCTTTAAAAATTGCAAATCATTATATCATTGCTCTGCCTAAAACCCTCCAGTGGTTTTCTGCTGCACTTGGCATAAAATCTTAACTCCTTCCTGTGTTCTACAGGACTCCATGATCTGCCTTTTTCTCCTCATTTTCTGCTCCTTTCCTCCTCAGTTTAGCTACATCATATATTGTTCATGCCAATCTTATTTTCCTCTTTCGGGTCATTGTATTTACTGCTCCTTGTGCCTGGAACTTTTTGCCCCGTCCCCACCTTAGTGTCTTTAAATACCTAGCACTTTCTCTCCATTCAGGTCTCGCTCAGCTGAGACATTATGTCCTCAATGAGGCCCTCTTTGATCACCCAGTCTGTGTTAGCCATTTCCTCAACACGCACAACTAACTCATCATCTTGTTTTATTTCATTCCTAATACTTAGTACTGTTTGAAAATATCTTGTTCACTTATTTACTTATTTTATTGTCTGTTTCTTTCTCTAGAATATAAATTTTAAGAGGGCAAGTGATTGATTCCCCAGCATCTAGAATGGTATCTGATATATGGACATACATAGATGCTCAGATATCTGTTGGATAAGAATGAATGAGAGATGATATGCAGTGTCATTGGGTATGAAGAGGAGGGGACAGAGGGGAGAGATGTTAAAGGGAGAGACTCACTGGGACTGGGAGACTGCTGGGAGAAGAAGCCTATTTCCAACTTCTTTGTTAGCTGCTCTCTACCCTCTCTTGGGGCTTCAGGTTCTCAGTCTGGCGGAGTAGTAAGGTATCATCATCTCAGCAGCACCTTCTTGCTGCTCTGAAGACTAGCCTGGGGGCCCCTATGGTTTTCAGTGTTTTACTGTTGAACACCCTGAGAGGAAGTTCCAAAGCTGGCAGAGTTTCAGTCCTGGAAGTTAGTAGGTCTTTGGGCCTGACTAACAGGAAGCAGCAGACCTGATGAGTGGTGAAGCCAGTGCAGGAGCCTGGGTCTCTCCAGTCCCTACATTTCTCAGTCTCTGGCTAGAGAGATGGTGCCATTTGTAGGAGTGGCTGAACACCTCCTACATTCTTTGTGGTAAGGTCAAGTTGCCACACCTAGGTCCTCTCCACCGCTAGCAGCAGCCCCAGACATGAAGAGCAACTCTTGTCTTCTCTTCACAGGTTGCTATCGTCTGGTGGACTATTTAGAAGGGATCCAGAAGAATTTTGATGAGGCTGCCAAGGTGATGAAGTTCAACTGTGAAGAGAACCAGCACAGTGATAGCTGCTACAAACTGGGGACCTATTATGTGACTGGGAAAGGTAAGGAGAATCCTGCTTTCTTTGGTCCTTGTTGTTGACACCACTGCTGGCATCACATTCTAGGCCTCATGCTGAGCCCTCTTCACAGAGGGGTCCTTCCCCAAGGGGTTCCTTGGGAAAGCACATTTTAAGAAGATTTACAGACAAGAATTCAGCAGAATGATGAGGGAAATGAGGGAAGAGCACAGTATTTCCAGTTAAACAGCCCTGAGAGAATGCTTTTTGCAAGTAGTGGGACCTTTGAGCCAGCACTTTAACTCTGTGCCTTAGTTTTATTACCTGTGAAATGGGGGAAATAGAACTTGTCTCCTAGGGCTGTTGGTGAGGATAAAATAGGATAATTTAGGTGAAAACACTGCCTGGCACAGAGTAAACCAAAAAACCCGCTGCTGTCGAGTTGATGCCGACTCATAGTGACCCTGTAGGACAGAGTAGAATTGTCCCATAGGGTTTCCAAGGAACATCTGGTGGATTCAAACTGCCAACCTTTTGATTAGCAGCCGAACTCTCAACCACTGTGCCACGAGGGTAATATCACAGAGTAAGGGATCAATAATTATTAACTCCCTTCCTTCTGTCTTTTTCTCCTCATGCCCCAATTGCAGCTATAACTAGAGTAGTATTTTATTTATTGCTATATAACAGATTGTCCCATCAGATATTTATTATCTCATAGTTTTGTGGGTCAGGAATTTAGGAGCACTTAGCTGAGTGTTTCCAGACATCAGCCAGGGCTGCAGTCATTTGAAGGCTTGACTGGGGCTGGAGGATACAGTTCTAAGACGGCTTACTCACATGGCTGTTAGCAAAGACCTCAATTCTTTGCCACATGGCTCCTCCATAGGGCTGTTTGAGTGTCCTCGTGACATGTCAGCTGGCTTTCTCTAGAGCGGGTGATCTAAGAGCGAGCAAGATGGAATCTGCAGTGTCTTTTATGACTACCCTTAAAACTCACACTTTTTTCATTTCTATCACATTCCGTTTATTAGAAGTGAGTCATTAAATATAGCCCACACTAAGGGGAGAGGAATTAAATTCCACCCCTGGAAGGGAGGAATATCAAAGAATTTATGGACATATTTTAAAGCCACTACAAGTAGGGAATATGATCTTTAATGTTGTTGTTAGTTGCTGTCAAGTCAATTCTGCACCTCATTTGTGCAGAGTGGAACTGCTCCATAGAGTTTTTAAGGCTATGACCTTTTGGAAGCAGATTGCCAGGCCTGTCTTCTGAGGTGCCTCTGGGTAGGTTCGAACCACCAACCTTTCAGCTAGTAGTCAAGCGCTTAACTGTTTGCACCACTCAGCGGGTTCATGATCTTTAATGGACAGCTGTGTTTTTTTTTTCCTTTCACTAAATGAGGAGCTCCTTTAGGATAATATGATTCATTCATCCCTTATTCCCAGTGCCCAGCAAAACCCTGGTTTAGAAAGGTACTCAGTGAAAGCTTGATGAAGATAATGACTTAATTCTCTGGAGGTGTGTGGACCATTTCTGCTTTCACGTGAGACATGGGGTCTGTGATGGTCTCCATTTTAAAGAAAAGTTCAGCAGCAACAGGAATATTAGGTTCCCTTGCTGGAGCAGAGGAGCATTTCTTGAACTAGTAATTCTCCTTCTAGCATCCTTTTCTGAGGAAGTAGTTAGAAATACAGAAAGAGGATATATACAGAGTTATTCACCACAGCATTATTTATCTGCCAAAATTCTGCTTTTATTTATAACTTACAAGTAAAATGGAAACCTTGGTGGCATAGTGGTTAAGAGCTACTGTGCTAACGAAAAGGTTGGCAGTTCGAATCCACCAGGCGCTCCTTGGAAATTCTGTGGGGCAGTTCTGCTCCGTCCTGTAGGGTCGCTGTGAGTTGGAATTGACTTGATGGCAATGGGTTTAAGTAATATATGACTGCAGTACATATAGTCATACCGTAAAAAAAGAAACAACCCTGCATTCCAACAATAGCAGCTTAAATAAATAAATAGTGGTACTTCTGTTGGATGGATTATTTTATAGCTCATTAAAAAACACTATTTCTCAAGAATTTTTATTGATACGAGGAAAAGTTGATGATATAATGTTTAGAGAAGGAAGCCTAGTGCAAAATTATACATTGTGTGAACTCAGCTATGTAATACAATGTGCAAAAAAAAAAAAGAACAACCATGTTCCTAGTTATTGTCTTGGTAGAATTTTGGGTTCCTTTTGTCTATATACCATGTTTTATTATCTTTTCTTTTTTCTTTTTATTTTTTTCTCATATAAAAATTTATACATATATTGTTATGTGACCCTAATTGCTCTCCCTATACTGTGACAGCACACTCCTCCTTTCCACCCCTGATTCCCGTGTCCATTCAACCAGCTCCTAACCCTCTCTGCCTTCCCATCTCATCTCTGGACAGAAGCTGCCTGTTTAGTCTCTTGTTATCTACTTGAGCTAAGAGGCACACTCCTCACAAGTATCACTTTATGTCCTGCAGTCCAGTCCAGTCCCTGTGTGAAGAGTTGGCCTTGGAAATTGTTTTAGTTCTGGGCTGATAGAGAATCCAGGGGCCATGCTTTCTGGGGTTCCTGCAGTCTCAGTCAGACCATTAAGTCTGGTCTTCTTACTAGAATTTGAGTTCTGCACCTCACCTTTCTCCTGCTCCATCAAGGACTCTGTTGTGTTCTCTGTCAGGGCGGTCATTGGTGGTAGCCGGGAACCATCTAGTTCTTCTGGTCTCAGGCTGATCAAGTCTCTGCTTTATGTGGCCGTTTCTGTCTCTTGGGCTAATACTTTCCTTGTGTCTTTGATGTTCATTTTCCTTTATTCCAGGTGGGTGGGACCAGTTGATGCATCTTAGATGGCTGCTTGCAAGCTTTTAAGACCCCAGATGCCACTCACCAAAGTAGGATGCAGAACGTTTTCTTAATTAGCTTTGTTATGCCAGTTGACCAAGATGTCCCATGAAAGCATGGTCCCAAGACCCCTACTTCTGCTACTGTGTCCCTCAAAGTGTTTGATCATATTCAGGAAACTTCTTCGCTTTGGTTTAGTCCAGTTGTGCTGACTTCACCTGTAGTGTGTGCCATCCTTCCCTTCACCTAAGGTAATTCTTATCTACTATCTAGTTAGCAAATAATCCTCACCCTCCCTCCCCACCCTGGTAACCATCAGAGTGTTTTCTTATGTGTTTAAACCCTTCCTTCAGTTCTTACGATAGTGGTCTTATATAATATTTGTCCTTCTGTGACTGACTAAATTCATTCAGCATAATGACCTTAGATTCCTCCATGTTATAAGATGTTTCACGGCTTCATCGTTGTTCTTTATCGTTGCATAGTATTCCATTGTCTGGCTATACCATAATTTGTTTATCCATTCGTCCATTGATGGGCACCTAGGTTGTTTCCATCTTTTCGCTGTTGTAAACAGTGCTGCAGTGAACGTGGGTGTGCATATATCTATTCGTGTGACAGCTCTTATTTCTTTAGGTTATATTCCAAGGAGCGGTATAGCTGGATCATATGGTACTTCTGTTTCTAGCTTTTTAAGGAAGTGCCAGATAGATTTCCAAAGTGGTTATACCATTTTACATTCCCGCCAACAGTGTGTAAGTGTTCCAGTTTCTCCACAACCTCTCCAGTGTTTATTATTTTGTGTTTTTTTAGATTAATGCTAGCCTTGTTAGGGTGAGATGATACCTCATTATAGTTTTGATCTGCATTTCTCTAATGGCTAATCGTGAGCATTTCCTCATGTGTCTGTTAGCAGCCTGAATATCTACTTTGGTGAAGTGCCTGTTCATATCCTTTGCCCATTTTGTAATTGGGTTATTTGTCTTTTTGTTGTTGAGGTTTTGCAGCATCTTGTAGATTTTA